TTATTATATATACATTTTTATATTATTCATACATTATATATACATATTATATATATATATATATTATATATATATATATATACCAAATATTGTCAGTTATTCGTCATGATAATTTGTCTGTTTGATCAATCACATTGTTAAATATCTGGTTAAATAAATATAAATGAACCACTTCGCTGTTATATATTAACACCTCTTATAAAAAATTAGTTCGTACCACATGGAACAATCCCTCTCCACCCCTCTGCTCACCGCAGCTGCCCTAGGTAACAGCGATGAGTCACTGTCAGGAATTTCGTACTTTTGGTGTATACCCTCTGAGAAAAAAGTCAGTCAAACAGGTCCATACAATTAGGCCATAGACATTGTTTTCTTGCCCTACTGGTAGTGCATCTGGAAGCGTCGCCTCTCATTGATACCTAACTCGGGCAGACGTGTCACCGTGGTAGCGCAAGACGCCAGCAGCAGCCGCGGCCGATAGGTACGCGATCCATCGCTCGAGAACATTTTTTCAGGGCTAATGTACAGAGAAATCTATGAAGTGTGAAATATGTCTAATAGGTGCGTAGAATTACCAATGTTGGTTTTTTTAAGGTCTTTTTCTCGGTCGCCTATGGACCGATTTTCAAAAACTACAAAGCTTTTGCGTCCTTAGCATAGTAGCAACATTACGGCATGTACCACACGGACACATTGTGATGATTATGCTTCTGCGATTATTCGCTCGAGAAAATGATATTTAATCTATTGGCATACGTATTGCGCTTCGCAGGACAGTACTGGTCGATTGGGTAGAACGTTCACAGAAAGACTGCAAAATAAGTCTAATATTTATCCTCGCAATAACATATCGTCGCCTTAGTAAGAAAACCGAGTAACACCAGTTTTTGGCCAAATTGATGTTTTATCGCCATCTAGTAATACAACATCAAACCTAACTAATGCAAGTGCTGACCCAGCTGGTTACATTCCAGTAGGCTGCTGGATCTCTTTCTGACCACGCATTCTGTCCCTTACAGCACTGCTCTGTCCTGTGCCCCCTGGGTAACTTAAACCACGGTGTTAAGTTTCGGTCAGAAACCGCTGTGGCATCAGAAACTCGTACAGGCCCCAAAATTTGGCATTACAGACATACCGACTTGGAGGGGCTCCGAAACTTCTTCTCTACCTTTCGTTGGAGATATGTCTGTTTCACTGGCGCGGATGCGTCGGCTGCCTGTTCTTCTATAACCGAAATTATCCACGTCGGAATGGAGGAGTACATCCCCCACACAGTGAAAGTGCCTAAGCCAGGGTCCAACTGCTGGTTTAACAAATCGTGTGACACTGCTCGCCAGCAAAAGATCAAGACACACAAAACCTTCTTACAAAACCATACTGTAGAGGACAGACAAGCCGACGTCGAGTCCAGAAACAAGTATAACGCAGTGGTTCGCAATGCCAAAAACCAGCACGATATAAAAGTTAGACACATGGTAATGTCTCAGCGCATGGCCTTCCACCACTCACGTTTCAGGATGGAACGATTGTATCCGACTCAGATGGCAAGGCGGAAGTGCTTGCCAAGATCTTTACTGTCGCTCGAGATCAACAAAGATTCTGGTCCGGACTTGATTACTGCCATTGTAATGAAGAGGTGTGCAGCGGAGCTTGCTCCAGTTCTTTCGCGTCTCTTCCAGATATCTTATGAATCCGACACCTTCCCAGAAAACTAGAAATTTACCCTTACAACTACAAGCCTATAGCTCTGCTTTCTGTTATAAGTAAGGTGATGGAGAGGTGCATAAATCGCGAGCTTCTGGACTACGTCGAACGCAAGATATCCGTCATAATTGACGGGTTCTTCTCTAGATCCCACAACGTCAACGCGGGTGTTCCCCAGAGATCGGTCTTGGCTCCGATACTGTTCTTCTTACATATTAACGACCTCCTTTCCTGCACGATCAACCCAATCCACAGCTTCGCTGATGACAGCACTATACCTGCAGGAATTCATAGTGTCAAGCCGATATCTACCGCTGAGCTGCAAATAAGACTAGCGACGACTTCCTCTCTGACGAGAGACCTGGAGGTTATCACTGCTTGGGGACGTAACAATGTTGTACAGTTTAATGCTTCCAAAACACAGTACTGTACCTTGACGAATAAAAAGTGTCCCACCGCTCATCCGGTTTCGATGAATGGTCGAGTTCTGCCAAAGAGCCATTCATTTCGGCTGGTCGGAGTCCAGATCACAGAGAATCTGATGTGGCACGAACACATCACGTCAATAGTGGCATCTGCTGGGAAAAAGCTAGACTATTTGTTTAGGGCTAAGAAGTACTTTTCTCCGGCTGACCTTCTCACTCCTCGAGTATTACTCACACGTTTGAGGTGCTGCCGCCTCGACTACATTATTTATGCTCGATGCTGCCCAGAGTAGGGCTGTCCCACTGATCGATTACTCTTCTCTAACAGACAGTCTCGGGACCCTTTCACACCGGCGGGCCGTCGACGATCTAGCTCTCTTCTACCGTAACACAAATGGGCTTTGCTCCTCAGAGCTCTCTTCCATGGTACCGCCGCGTGATGTGCCTGCCAAACACACCCGCCTGACTTTGGTGTCCCATCCTAACAGTGTCGAACTTCGTACATCCAGAACTGGCCGATACGACCGCTATTTTGTTCCGAGCGTGTTGAGACAATTTACAAGAGGAAGCTTTTCCCAGTTCTACTACTAACCTTGGGCAGTTCAAGAATCGGATTAACAAAATTTCTTTTTGATCATCATAGCCGCCGCGGTATTCCGGCATTCAGGCTTGAAACGCGCATAACCCCCAGTTTGCCTACAAATTTTAGTGGTGCGTGTAGGTGCTTCCTACTGTAGTTCATTTGATTGTAGAAATAATTGAACTTAAAGAAAAAGAACTACTTAATCATCAAGGTAAGACTATTTGTTATAGTATTTTCAATTACTCGATATTTGATACGCATTATTTCTGCACATTTTGGAACTTTTTCACCGGCTATGGACATACCTGGTTTTCTATATTTATGTTGATATTGCGCGTTTTTCCTTTTAATTGAAATACAGATTTGTAAAGATGTATCCGAATTTTCAATTACAATTATGATCTATAATTTATTTCCTCAACACTTTTTAACCGCTTTAGGCTTGCGGAGGCCTCCAAAAGAAGAATAAATCTAAAATATAATAATTAAAATGGACGTTTAATTTATTTGCTCTCCAAACTGGCGCAACATAATTTAATTTTATTACTAATACTACTAATTCTACTTCCTAAGATTAAACTTAAATTTTGATGCATAGTTAGCATAGAACAGGCTTTATGATTTATTTTTCAAATTTTAGGATGTCATCTAGAAAAAAAAAGATAATGAATATGGTTGAGAAGAAAACTTGCAGTTCCACTGTAGATGCTTCTGAATATATAGTTTAAAAAAACGGAGTTTAATTCCCTATTAACGTAGAACCGTCCAATAATACAGAGTGTCGGATCGAGAACTTCATCGATAGATTTCTCGAAAAGTAGGAATATGATATTTTTGAAAATTTGGGAGTTTGCTAATGTCGATGAGGCAACGGCAGCTAAAATATTTTCAAGATGGTGGCTCTTTCGGTATAGTCAACTTGCTTACTTTACATATTACTCAATAGTCGGATTTTATATAAAATTCTAATCACATTTCATGTATAATCTCCTATACCCAAGTGTAACCGGTTTTGACATAATTCAAATTTTATGTCAAAAATGACGTTTGCAGGCCCTAAAAATAATAATTCATATTCCGTGTGTAGAACACCTTATTGTTTAATGTGGATTGATTTTCTGGTAAACAGGGATGTAGTTTAATAGACTTTTTATGATATTTCGATAATTATTTATAAAGGGTGCTCAAAAAATTAGTATAAAAATTGAATGTCAAAAATTGCCAAGAGCCGATTTTTGCACATTAAAACCACCTATTTTTATAAGTTTATCGCATCAAGACTTAAAAACTAGCGTAAATTTATACACGGTTATCTATCCCAAAAATGCTTACTTTTCGAGTAATTTGAAATTCATTACTTTTCTACTGTAAAACTCCCAAGAGTACAGATTTAGTATTTTAATTAGTTGGCTATGACGGCGGGATGCGGAGAACAAACAATTGTGCTCTACAAAAACGTCACTTTATTTGACAGTTTATTCATAAATTATTAATAATACTCATGCCCACGCGTTTAAATTTCACTTAGGAAGACTATTTCAATTAATTTATTATTTATGGTGATTGCAACAGAGTGATATCAAGAACATGTGATGTGTTTGCTCATAGATATCCAGAAAAAAGATGACCGGACGCACATACGGCTAAACGAGCATTAGAAAATTTCTAAAAATTCGGTTGTATGAAGCCCAAGATTCAAGGGAATAATCCTTTAGTTAACGATGAAGCCATTGAAGTAGCAGTTTTGGGGTTTTATGCTTTTCCAATGATGTCTTTACGACAACCATTAGCAGAATTTTGCACAAACACAATTTTTATCCATACACGCTATCATCATCCAACAGTTAAAAGAAACCGTTTTTTTTTTAAAGAATTCAATTTTGCGAATTGATTATTACAAGGTATCAAGAAAATGATCCTTTCCTGAAAAATATTATATGGTTAGATAAAGCAAAATGCACCAAAAATGGCCTTTTCAATCGAGAACCTTCATGTAATAAGAGAAAGAAGCTTTCAAGACAATTGGCAATTCAATGTATGTATACTGCGCTGTCAGAGATAATCAAGTTGTCTCTCTACAGTTTTATGAAGAAAATTATCAACAGTTTTTTTTTATGAAAGAAACTGATAAGAATGTGCAATATCCAAATACCAGTAGTATAAGTTTTTTAACACATAGGGTCAGCATTGCCAACATTAGTACTAATTTATCTCATTTAAAAATATTTGGATATTAAAGAAAACGTTATGCAGTTATAAAAATTATTAATACCCAATGATATTTTTAGATGAAGGTTATTTGAACATTCTTCGGAATTTAGAAAACAATTACTTGGATAATTTACCACTTGCTGATCATCGAAATATATTCTATCAACATGATGGTGAGCCACCCCACAAAGGATACTTAATAAACAATTTCTTAGAAGCTATGTTTTACGATCAAGGGTTTGCTAATAATGGACCATTCAAGTGGTCGCCCCGTTCGCCGGATCTAACAGTCTTGGACTACTTTATATGGGGGACAATAAAAAATATTGTTTACCAGAACCCACTGACCACTCTAGATGACTGTAAGCGGAGAGTAAGAAATACATTTGCTAGTTTGAGTCCGGAAATAATAAGAACTGCCACTCATCAGGAGTTAATAGATAGATCTTTTAAATGTTTAGATGTTAGCGGTGGTCATTTTGAACATTTACCAAAATGAGTTGTTCCTTGTTATGGTCTAATTTTGTTTTATAATAGTATGAAAGTTAAATATAAATCGAAATAGCTTATTGTTTCCTGTTATTCATTTCACTGTATGAGCGATTGTTTGGAAATCTACTAGCAAACTTATCATAATTAGTCTTCATATCATTCCGATTACGAATACATGAAAATTATTAAATATATCATTATTAAAAGCTTAAAATTAGAAGTAGTGATATTTCTGTTGTGCTCAATTGTTTATTCTCTGCGTCCCGCCGTCATAGCCAATAAATTGAAAAACTGAATCTGTACTTATAGGAGTTTTACTATAGAAAAGTAATAAATTGCAAATTACTCTAAAAGTAAACATTTTTGAGGTTTTCATTTGAAAAAATCGATTTTTAGCAATTTTGACATTCAATCTTTATACTAATTTTTTGATCAACCTGTATAAATAATTATCGAAATATCATACAAAGTCTATTAAACTATATCCCTGTTTACCAGAGAATCAATCCACATTAAACAATAAGGTGTTTTACATAGGGGAAGTGAACAATTATTTTAGGGCCTGCAAATGTCATTTTTAACAGAACATTTGGAATAAATATGTCAAAAACGGTTAGACTTGGGTAAAGGAGATTATACAAGAAATGTGGAATACGTGAAAATATGAAATTTCATCCCACGCAGCAAATGCCTTTAATGTCAAAGCGTGGAATAAAGTAACTATTGTTCCGTTAGCTGCAGATTTGAGGGTATTAAGAGAATATCTGCTCGACCAGAACAATTAAAGATTTGAGAAAAACTTAGTTACGCCTACGGAGAAAGTAGTGTGGAAAAGTTTCAACAGAGTTGTAATGAGAGGCAACAGGGGAAGTGAAATAGCGATTTTATTCAGCAAGAACCCATATTGAAATACTTATAAGAGCGAGAACTGAATTTGTCAAAGAAGCGAATTACGTTCTATTTGTTAAGCATTCTTCAAAGAGCCAACCCATTGTAGGGTAAAAATTAGTCAAAAAGCATGCCTTTTTATGAAGCACTAGTAATCCAGAGGCGTCAACAAAATTATGAAAACGTCTAGCCAAAATGATTTTGAGCAGTTGGCTACCCTCATAGGCCATACTTTATATGAGCATAAACAAGTTAATCATTATCATAATGGTGCTTACCTGAATATCCTGGTTTATAGCATTACCAGAGCCAAAAAGATCAAAATCCTTTTCTGGACGTGTGACTCCGCTGTTATAATTTTCCCCTTGCCTGTACATGACATTCGTTATCTCGCAAGTGCTCTTTATGTCTTGCCAAGTTTTGTGCCTATTCAATTTGCGGTGATCACTCGTCGATGAGTCAGACCTTTGTTTGTAAATGAACTGTTTGGACTTTCTGCTGTAATGTGGAAAACGAATTTGTCTATGCTACCGTTCAAATTTTTCTTTATTGCTTGAGAAGTATTTCAGATTTTGGCATAAAAGTCGGTATAGGAAGGTTTTCTAGTGTGAGAAACAAGAATATTTTATATGGCCAAACATCTAAAGGGCGCCACTTACAGCACTATTTCGGTGAATAACTTATCATAACTTTTTTGTGATACTCTGTATACAACAACTGACCGAAAAATCTTATCTTCTCGTGTTTCCACAAAAAAAGGTTTACTTGTTAGAAGTGTCTAAAGCTAATCGTTTTCGAGATATTTGTTTTTAAAAGTTCCAATGCATTATTTGTACCATGATGATAAAACATTTTTAGAACATAATAATCAAGTTGACTTGGATAATATCTGAGTAGCGTTGCTATGGTTTCTAATGTTTGTCATAATATTGCTTCAGACTTCATGAATATTTTTAAGTTGACAATAAGTTGTTAAACAGCATGGAGTATACGTTTGATGAATATTCTGATATGCATTTAATGTACGGATTGGCAAAATGTAATGCTTTAAAAGCACGAAGATTGTACGCTGACATTCCCTAATAGTCACCTGCTTATTTCAAATACTTTCCAACGAATCGATCAGCGATTACGAGAAACTGGTAAGAAATGATTATTTTGAGTAGTAAAAACCATTTAGATTTTAGGTAGTTTTGCTCAAAATATGGGCCGACATAGTGGAGCTTCCAGAAATGTACGTTCAGCTGAAGTTAAAGAAAATGTTTTAGATGCTGCGTTTAAAAATCCTACATTTCGGGTTAGGAATGTAGCTCGAGAATTTCAAGTTTCCAAATGTACAATAAATACCATTTAATATTATTAATATTATTTTAGGACGAAGCAGGATTTGGAAGTGATGGGCCCATTAACTCGCATAACCTTCACATTTATGCAGACGAAAATCCTCATGCAATAATACAAACCCGCCACCAAGTACAATTTCAGAATAATTTATGGAAAGGAATAATTGGACAATATTTAATATGGCCCGTTGAGTTACCACCTAGACTGAATGGCCAACGGTATTTACAATTTCTTGAAGAACAATTAACCATTCTGCTGGAATTACAAACACGCATGAATATGTGGTTTATGCACGACGACGCTTCCACCTCATTTTACTATATTAGTTAGAGAGCACCTAAATAGAGTTTATCCAGACCAGTTTATCCAGGACCTGTATCGTGGCCGGTTAGATCACCAAATTTAAATCCTATGGATTTCTTCTTCTGGGGTGATTTAAAACGACGCGTTTACAATACGCAAGGAAATGAAAAATAACACCCAAATGCTTTGGAGAGTGGAGCAAGGATTGGTTCCTTGAACTCGAGAGTTTGTTAGGCAAGGTTTTGAGTAATTTTTGTAGTTATTATTTCCGTTTATCAGCTTTGTTGCGATCCTCATTTGTTATTGTCAAAAACCTTAGCAACGCTACTCAGATATTATCCAAAGCAACTTGATTATTATGTTATGAAAATGTTTTATCATCATGGTACAAATAATGCATTGGAACTTTTAAAAACAAATATCTCGAAAACTATTAGCTTGAGACACTTCTAACAAGTGAACCTTTTCTGTTGTGAAAATACGAGAAAGTGAGATTTTTCGGTCAGTTTATCCTGAAATAAATTAATTATGATTAGAAAAACTGATTTGTCCTAGTCTAAACTGCTTCGGACCGAGATTTAACTAGTCTGAACTCCTTAAAAGATAGCTGCGTGGCTTTGGCTCGTTTAGCATGGTATCTTACAAAAATTGTATTGCAGGTATTTTTTTAATTTGTTGCGGTTTTTATTTTATTTAAATTAAATATTTTCATTTCAGAAATAAATTTGATATGTGCAAAAGTTTTTATTGGAAGAAGTGTACAAAAACATTGAACTTTCGTTAACAACCACAGCGATCAAACATTCATATGGAACAGATCAAGGTTCCTTAAGGTGTAGTTTCACCAAGAAGTCAAATCGATGACTGCAAGAAAAATAATGTTGTCTGCAACTCGAAATGCCACAATAGTTTGACACGTAATAACAAGTAATTAATAAAAAGTTATTAAACATGTTTAAAATAATAGTATTTTCTTCCATTGGTAGTAAAAACATTACTTTTGTGAAGAGACTGTATGTAGACTAAGACAAATCAGTTTTGTCTAATCATACTTAATTGATTTCAGGACAAATCCGTTTAGACTAGGATAAACTAGTTCATCCTATTGCTCTTCGAATACATTGATTTGGCCTAGGAAAAACTAGTTAATCCTAAACTCGTTTATCAGCTTTGTTGCGATCCTCATTTGTTATTGTTAAAAACCATAGCAACGCTACTCAGATATTATCCAAAGCAACTTGATTATTAGGTTATAAAAATGTTTTATCAGCATGGTACAAATAATGCATTGGAACTTTTAAAAACAAATATCTCGAAAACTATTAGATTTAGACACTTCTAACAAGTAAACCTTTTTTGTTGTGAAAATACGAGAAAATAAGATGTTTCGGTCAGTTTATCCTAAAATAAATTAATTATGATTAGGAAAAACTGATTTGTCCTAGTCTAAACTGCTTCGGACTGAGATTTAACTAGTCTAAACTCCTTAACCCTACAGTTGTCGCGTGATAAATTTAGGATAGTTTGGTCGCGTCGGTCCCTGAGACCGGCTTTACTAGGTAGAAAAAAGTTGCATATTACGAAGTAGGTTTGACTTTTTTCAAATAAAAATGATAATACTGCATACTTTAAACCAGTTTTATTTAAATTAAAAACATATCCCTACAAAATAACAAGCAAAATGCAAAGAAGAGGTAGCTCTAAAAAGGAGTAGTAAAAAAAGTTAAAAAAACATTGCTATACTGAACTATTGAAAAACGCTGTACAAAGGTAAACTGAATCATTTACAATCGTTACATATGCCAAATAAGTGTTCTAAGCACAAAAAAACACCGCAATGTTCGCATTTATATTTTGTTTTGCGGTTTTTCTTAGGTCCACAAAATTTGCATCTTCCAATTTGCCCTCTTTCAACTGGAGCTTCGGTAGTATCTTGGTTTGTTAGTTCTTTTAGACGTAATCGCATCAGTCTTGGAATATATGGCGAACTGGACCTTTTTCGCATATGTGGAGTAAAAAGTTCATATGATAAATTATGAATGAAAGCTCTTCTCAAAACCTCAGCATTCGGATTATTAGCCAAGTAAATAATTTGGCTATTTATACCAGCAATATTCATTAGTGCATAAAATATCACTACAGGCCACCTTCTGGTACCACGAGCACAGTTATAGTTGGCAATTAGCTTGTCCACTATATCAACACCACTTTTTGTGGAATTATAATCAGTTATTATAACTGGTTTCAAAAGATCACCTGTGTTTAAATCTAAATCATCATTGTGATGCATCGTGGACAAAAGTAATACATTCTTTCTTTTTTTAGGAATGTATGATACAAGTGTACATTCACAGTGAAATCCAAACATGCTAGACTTTGGTGGTCTGGTTGCCGGAACTGTAAACTCCAAGGGTAGCTCTCGCTTATTTTTGCGGATAGTACCTACAGCTGTCAATTTTTTTTGATAAAGTTGTCTAAATAATGGAACGCTAGTGAACCAATTATCCATTGTGATATTTCTATTTGTTCCTTGAATTCCCTTTGAGAGTCTCATGACAACATCAAGAGCACTGTTTGATACTTTATAAGGACCTTCTGGTTGAAGACCAACATACACTTCCAAATTACTGGTATAGTACATTTTAGCGTCACACATTGCTAAAACTTTTATCCCGTATTTGTTTGGCTTTGACGGAATATACTGCCGGAAATTACATTTCCCACGAAATCCCAAAAGCATTTCATCAATTGTGACGAATTCCGAATTATGATATCCTTTGCGGCATCGTTCTACAAACAAATAAAAAATATGTCGTATTGCAGCAAGTTTATCCTGTTTCAGTCGATCCTGACGTGAAGCTTTATTATCAAAACGTAAGACTCGCATCAAAAACCTGAATCTTCTAAGAGACATCACTAACCGAAATATTTCTATTCCAGATCCGTCAGCTTTCCATAAATCGTCTAAATTGAGATGACTCGCCTTGTACTTTCCAGCTAAATACAGTAAACCCAGAAGTGCATGAATTTCATCTGAATTTGTAAAATTTGCATCCCTGTCTCTTGCAAAATTTGCTTGAATGCCCTCAATCATTTCGTTAGTATGTATAACAATAGTATCAATAATTTCTTCTGAAAAAAAATATTTCCAAATTTCTATGGGAGTTTTCAAGTTTTTTGTGTATGTACTTGGTCCTGGCAATACTTTTATGATATTCTCAGATCTAGTCTTAGTATTCTTCGGTAAGGGAGAAACTTTTTTCCATCTTGTTTGCTTATCCTTACCCAAAAAACTTAGGGTATTGCTGAGTGGTGGCTCAAAATATGTGATGTTAGCTTCTTCGTTTGAACCATGAGCTTCTAGAGGCTCCTGAACAAAATCTGCTTCATCACAGTCCGATTCGGAATCCAAATATTCTTCACCTTTGTCGATAATTTGGTTGGAGGAACAACTTTCTAACTGATGACTGGAAATCTCATCTTCGTCAGAATCATGGTCCGACTCAGTGTCTGTGATGGTGACTGTTTCAAACAAATATTGAAGTCGCTGTTGTTCCTTTTCATAAGTATACCTGTACATCTACAAATACCAAAATCATAAGATAACGCCATGGGATTACTGAAATAATTGAATTTATACACCTCACCTTGTTTGCGTTCAGTGTTCACGATCGTGCGTAAATAGTCGCGTCGGTGCCTGAGACCGATATTGGCTGTTGACCGCACAATATCACACTAACCAATGTTGCCGCATGTCTAGAAGAAGCGTTGAATGAAGTGGGGGGAATTCCTAGAGCGGCGTACTATTGCAAGCATATTTGGGGTTTTTACCGATATTTTGATTCTTCGTCGGTCTGTGAGACCGTACGCGACTATTGGAGGGTTAAGAGGTAGCTGCGTGGCTTTGGCTCGTTTAGCATGGTATCTTTCTGAAGGGACGTCACCATCAGGTCGACTAATCAATCTGTTTTAAGTGCAAGTTTATGAGGTTGACACGACGTTTGGAGTAACGTTTCTACACTGGACTGTGTTGTTTGGGATGGCAAACTGGACTTAGCGTGTGAAAGCAAACTCCATATCAAAGATGCTTGGAATAACGTTGAAGCATCGAACTAGGTCCCTTGGGATAGCAACGTGGACCTGGCTTGTGATAGTCAGCTCCACGCCAAGGACGAACGAAGACGTTTTGGATAAAGATTTAGCATTAAACTATGTTGCTTTTGATGGTAACTGTTACTTAGATTGATCCTACTACAAATAACAACGCTGAAAGCGTTTGGAATAACGTACCGACTCAGTATGGTCAACAATCTGTTCCCATTTGCTTGTCATAGCAAATTCCACCTGGTTTGTGATAACCATAGAACAGGACCATAAGTATGAACATGACAAGATAGGAATCCACCAACGTACTTTTTTCCTTATCGCCACATAGAGATTTAATTCCTTATGCAAGGTTGGCGTTATATTTTGCTTGTGAAAGCAAATTCCACCCGATTTGTGAAAGCCATGAAACAGGAATGTACTGTCAGTATGCATATGACAGATTAGGAAACCGTCGAAGTACCATTTTTCAGGAATAACAGATAGAGATTAGGTACAAAAATGAACGATCCAAGTTGCACATACCTTTTACATTTTCTGGCCTCCAAAAATACCGAATTGCAACGTTGTATTAATGCAGAAGATCGTCTAAAAAGCATGACTCATCCTTGAAGGTAATGTCCGCATTCTATAAGGGCGCGCGCCTTGGATTGATTCTGTCCAGTGGCGGCGGGCTATTGCTGTTGATAATGTGTAGGCTTAAATTTCCAATTGGTGTGACTTTCAAAGCAGATAACATCTTTATTTGTAAAACATCTCCACACTTGTGAAAGGCAAAATATTTCTTTCAAATTTCAATATTCGGGGAGAAGGATGCTTTTTGCTTTGTACACACAGGTTCAGCCACTTTAAGCGGAAATCAAAGTATATAAAATGTTTTCTTTTTCTAGAAATCCTCCCAAAATCAATACAAACACATACTTCGGTCATAATTTTTTAATTTTATTCAGCCAGGACTGCCTAGTTTAGCCGGATGAGGTAAATTAGTTCTGCGTTTTGAAAGTCACTAAAAGCTAGGATTTAAAGGCACATCAAGATCCGCCCTTCCGTCTGTAACCTATGGGTCCATAGTGCCCTTGCGCAGGCTCCCGGGCTTGATAGGGGAACGTGTCCAAAAACCTACGATAAATTTTAATAAGTGGTATTGAGGGGTCCCGCCACAGTTTAAGACGTCCCCAAATCCGCCTGACCCTAATGGTTACATACGTAAAAAATCGATACTCATCATTACACGCGATCTGTTCTTTAACGTCGATTCCAGACAAAAAATTTCGCCTATGACTTTCAAACCAATCTGTTGCTTACCTGCCCTCTACTCTTTTGTGTGGATTTCATTAAAGAGAAAACATAATTAAGACAATTAGAAAATCATTCTGGGGGAGGCGATTGAAAATTGCAGAGCATGGGGCGGTTTTGAGTCTTGATTCGTCCAGGGGAGTTACATTTCACAAAACGTATGGCTGTAATAAGTAAAGAGAAACATCCAATCCACAGCGTTTTGGCAGGGGGTGTCCGACAACCCCAAAGAGGCTTACGATTCACGGAGATGTCCGTCTCACAGCGGAGGAGGGGGGGGATTGAAAATTGCAGAACAGGGTGGTTCATGTCCTTTGGGCCAT